CCCCAAAACCCCAAAACCCCAAAACCCCAAAACCCCAAAACCCCAAAACCCCAGCTATTTACTCTCTAATTGCGTATAAATTAATTAACTAAAAAATGGTATATTCTTGATGATGGCTCAAAGAATTTGGACCAAAGATAAGCAGCCTTTAGTCGAACCATAGAACTGTTTTAGGTCATAGAAGGTTGCATCGTACTCAAGTATTAATGCTAACTAGCTTTGCTTTTTATTAACTGGAATTCAATGATTACTTTAGAAAATGATTACTTGTGAAATTCGATTTAAAAGTAATCTGAAACCTCTCTTTTATGGAAAGATTCAATACTGCTTGGCAAATTTTAGTAAAATTGAAAATTACATATGCTTTGGCTTTCTTCTTGATTTTGGGTCTAAATTTTAAGCAAAACTATCTTACAGATCTTGTTGAGAATTTCCTTTTGTTTTATTCTTTCTTCTTCAAGAAGAGCATCTAGTTGTTTGTTCATATCAGAAATAGCATTTGTAGAATCGTTTGTCAAGTAAGGAGTAGTTTCATTTTCAGTATCGATTCTCTTTACCTTCTTGAAACTTGTGTCATAGAGATAGGGAGCATAGTAATCCACTCTTAACTGCTCATTTTGGTCTGGCTGGTTCTCCTTTTTCATCTTTTGAGTTTTATCATCTTGAATTCATGTTTTATAGAACCTAAATTCGGAAAATAACTTCAAAAAGCATACTTATTTCTTAAATTGTTTTGATGAATCATCATAAGCTTATTAGGCACATGATATTTCTCAAGATTTTTAAAAATGATTTCTGTTGCTTCCTTCTCGTACAAATCGATATCTTCCAAAAGACACTTAACAAAATCTGGATCATTCGTAAGAGCTAAATAAGTGTCAGGCTTTCTTGATATCCCAAGTAGGTTAAATAGATTAATTAAAAGGCTTACGGATATCGAACTCCTGCATCACTTCATTGATGAAACTATAAAAACATTTCTCTGCTCTCAAAATATGCTTGTCTTCATCCTTCAATATTTCAAGTAGAGCTGGAGTCATTTGATCTTTGCTTTCAAAATTTCCGATACTTATGACATTTTTGTCTTCATTATCTTCAAACTCATTGAGTGTGTTTAACAAATTAGCATCCTCTTTCTGTGAAGTATTTGAAACTCTAACTGAGCTAGGGTAACTATAAGAATATTGACTCTCTTCATCAGCTCCTATATGCATAAATAAAAAGAATTCCAAAAAAGATACCCAAATGATTATGTCTGTAACCCCAAAAATAATGAAGATGACAAGCTTGAATAAGACCTATACCTTCATTGTTTCTTTTATCTAATAGGAATTGCGGGAGATGCGCCATTTCGTGTAAAATTTCAATTATTTTATTATTTTCTGGGGTTTTGGGGTTTTGGGGTTTTGGGGTTTTGGGG